ACGCTTAACCGACTGCGCCACCCAGGCGCCCCTAGGCAGCTTTTCAAAACTGGAAAAGGGACAATTAAAGAGTTCTGAACTTTCTGTTTACTGGCCTGGTGAACTTCTGTCCAAGACAATGGGCCAATGCGTCCACGTGCCCCCCTGCCTCCCTGCCCCCTTATGCCCGCTTTAGCTGTGTCCAGCCTGGACTTCCAGGCCTTGTTGGTGCAGTGTCAGGCAAACCGCACCAGCAAAGGAACTAACCAAAAGAGAAGATTTATTTTCAAGCATGACATGATTCCTTAAGCAGATCTTTCCGAGAACTTCTCATGGGCAGGCACGATGCCCACATTGACCCTTCCTTCTCCAGCTCTTCACGGGACAGCCTCTGCCCCTTAGCTGAGAGGCCTCAGTGGTTGGGGAGGGCAGCCCAGGCTCGAGTTCCTGTTTCCCCGGCACTCTTGTGCCAGATACGGAGGAGGCTCTCAGGGGCCTCCCTCGAACGCCCGACCCAGGGCAGATCCTTGTGGCTCAGTTCCCCAGAGTCCTGGCTGGCCGTAGGCCATTGTCAGGTTGGAGACCGAGCTGGCTGTGACCCTGAGGGAAGCATGTGCCCCTCCACGTGCTGCCTTCTGTGTGTGCTGGTGGTGCTCCCTGTCATCTGGGGAAAACATCCACATTCCCACGTTTCCGAGCCTGTCCTTGGCTGAGCACTTGCTCACACAACATCCTGAGTCACCCTCGCAGTCACCACCACCGAGGCCTCCACCCCATCTCACTAGATGCTGGGCATACCCCACGCACCAGGCAGGGGCTGCCTTACAGAGCTTGTGGTCCAGCGGGACCTCAGGTCTCTCCTCTGAGCTGTTGTTTCTACTCCTCGTAAAACGGATTTTTCTTCCAAGCGGTCTGCCCTCAGGTTGTGCCCTTCTAACCACATCTCCTCGTCCTTGCAGGCTGCAGCTTTTCTGTTTAATTTTTTTTAATGTTTATTTATTTTTGAGAGGGAGAGAGAGAAAGAGCACGGGCGTGCGCGCAAGTGGGGGAGGGGCAGAGAAAGAGGGAGACACAGACTCTGAAGCAGGCTCCAGGCTCTGAGCTGTGAGCACAGAGCCTGACACAGGGCTCGAACTCACGAACCTTGAGATCATGACCTGAGCCGAAGTCAGAGGCTTAACCAACTGAGCCACCCAGGCACCCCAGGAGGCTGCAGCTTTAGATATTGCCATGATGAAGGTGGTAGTCTTGTCCTAGGCCTACCAGGTGGCTGATGGCACTATTCCGGTGAGCATAGACTGTGGACTGCTGGCTCGTTTGAACTTCTCTTGCCTTCAGCTGCCCAACATGTAAACTCGGTCCACTGCTTATTGTGACACGATCACTACGCATGTGATTTCTGTTTCCCCCTGGAACCAACCCTAAAAGGGGGACCCACTCCTACCCCATTTAATATGAGGAAACACAGGCACAGAAAAATGAAATGACTTGTCTAGGTCACTCAGCCTGCAAGTATCTGATCTCAGATTTTTGGGAACCTAGGTCCTCATTACAACAAAGCCCGGCCTCCTAATCATTCAGTGACGCCTCCTTCCCAAATCTTAACCTGGAGATTTCCTGGCATCGGAAGTCACCTAGTGGAGTGGATTTGGGGAGTCTGGTGTCCATGGGGATGGCAGGTGTGGCCCCACCTGAAGTTTTCCAGAACATTAGTTATCATGCAGGTGTCAGACATCCCTAGGAAAACAGCTGTTATGAGCGGTTCTGAGCCATTACGAGCAGGCCCTTGTTCCTGGGGCCCTCAGGGATAGGGGCTCACCCAGGGTTCCTCCTTCCCGCCTTGGGTCTTCCAGGCCTTCGGAGGAGCAGGGCTGAGCACTAACTACCTCTCGGCTCAGTTCTTCGCCGGGGCCCCTGTGCTGCACTTTGCCAACAGCCTTGATGAGGTGCAGCGGGCAGCGGTGGCCAAGGTGGAGTCTAAGTGCCGCCTTCACGTCAGCAGGACTGTAGCAACGGGACCTGTGTTGTTGTGCCTGCAGTGCCCAAAACTTTAGGGGACGTGCCCTGAAAGGTGTGGTATGTGTGATTCTTGCACCCTGCCCGGCAGCTCCATCCTGGGACAGTCACTGTGAACTCAACCTTTTTGGGGCCCCACAGAAGACATTTCTGTGACTTTGCTGTTTCAGGCAAGGAGGAAGGGGATTCGCTGTGAGCTGAATGGGTTTCATACAGAGCCTGGAAAGCTGGGTACCAGACTGCGTGCCAGACCGGGAAGTCGATGCCTCCTTTCTGTCTGGCAGTAGGGTGTAAAGGCTGTGGGAATCTGGACAAATATTAGGAGCCCTGCTGAGGCAGTGTGACTGTGGGCTTCCTGCCCCTTAGCGTCCTCCCCAGCAAGCATGGGGCAGCCATCACTGGCCACAGCCTAAGGACCCAGGGCTACAGCACTCCTGGGAAAATGAAATGAACCAAAATCATGAAGCCACTGGCATCTGATTTTCCTCGTTTGAATGTCCATGGCCCAGAACACTAATTAAGACAATATTTTGGAAAGGGACACAAAAGAGGAAAAAAGTACATCAGAGAGACTTTGTGAATGTTCATTCTCAAAAGGAATTGAGAATAAAGGTTCATGCCACAGTCCCTCTGTCTCTGTGCATCAGTCCCATCCTGACACTTGTATTTATGTAGGATCCTACCGAGTGCATTGGCCTCTACACATGGGGCATGCAGATGTTGTGACCTCTGGTACATCCTGGATCAGCCACCTCACTGACACTCATGTAAATGTCACCGAAGGAATAAGCTTTCTGTGTGTGAGGACCCCTGCAACTTCCACACATTTCCATCTGCTTCAGAGTCACATGGTATTTGGGGGGAGGAGAGATGGCAGGTGACATGACATCACAATTAAGAGAGCAATATCCTCCTCTTGGGGGAAAGTAGAAATGCTCACCTGCTTGAGGTCTGAGTTCTTTGAGACATAGGTGAGCCGTGAGCCCAGCTGGCATGCAGAAATAAGCCACTGGCTATTCGGACCCAGTCTGCTAATCATAATTTGTGATGATGTGACCAACAGCTACCTTCCCCTTTTCAGGTTGGTCCAGATGGGTAGGGACTGCCTGCCTGATCAGCTGCATTGCAGACTTGACCTCCAGTAGGGCAGTGCTTTACCCAAGAGAGTGTCCGCCAGCTAGAGCCCAGGCTGTGCCATCAGTCTACTGGAGAGTCTTGGGTGGCTTGTGAAAGGGCTCCCCAGACATTCTTGCCCCAGCAGTCTGGGGAGGCAAGCCCTTCTCAACCACACTGCTTGCTTCTCATGAAAGGTCAAGTTCAATTCAGACACCCAAACCAACTACCATTACAACACTAGCCACCCTGGCAAACAATCTTTTGTAGATGCTGGCAGGGTTCTAGCATAGCCCGAATCCTTGCCTCCAGCCACAGGAGGGAGGAGGTCATTTTAAAAAAGGAAGTGCCGGGGCGCCTGGGTGGCTCAGTCAGTTAAGCAGCCGACTTCGGCTCAGGTCATGATCTCACGGTCCGTGAGTTCGAGCCCCGCGTCTGGCTCTGTGCTGACAGCTCAGAGCCCGGAGCCTGTTTCAGATTCTGTGTCTCCCTCTCTCTCTGACCCTCCCCCGTTCATGCTCTGTCTCTCTCTGTCTCAAAAATAAATAAACGTTAAAAAAAAAAAGGAAGTGCCAAAAAAAAA